TATATACACACATATACTGTATATATATATTTATTTATATTTAACCCCTTAAGGACAAAGGCTTTTTTGTATTTTTTGCACCCTTGTTATAATCCACATTTTAGGCCTGATATTATATATTTTCTGAAAGCCAAGACCCTGGCAGCAGTTGCGAATTTTTATTTTGCACGACATTAGGGCAACGTATTATTAAACCCCAAAATTTAGTGAAAAAATGCACTTAAGTTAAATTCAGTACCCCAAAACACTATATAAAACCATTTTTTTTTGGTAAAAAATAAAAGATGAGGTTACAACGAGTAAATATATACTGAACAAGCCCAGGTTAAAAATTGTGTGCGTTTGTGAAACTGCGACAGATTTCCGTACCCCAAAAAGGCCATAAACAACGCTTTAAAAGCCCCTACAGGTCATCAGTTTAGAGATACATGCAAATATTGGCCCTAGAATTATTGCTCTCATTCTGGTGTGTGCGGCGATACCCAACATGTGTAGCGCACACGTCGTTTTTGTGACGACGTGCATGCTCGAGGAGGCGGGGGACTTAAAACATTTTTTTTTACATTATTTTTACATTTATTTAATATTATTTTTAAAACTGTTTTTTTTTATTTTTATTTATTTACTTTATGTATGTTACCTAAATAAGAAATTTGCCAGCTTCAGGTACCATGCTGTCCTAACTGGTACTGCCGCTACTTTAGCCTTCTGATTAAAAGATGGAGAGACTATGGCAGACTGTCTGCATTAAAATAGAATTGTTCAGGGAGCACAGTATGTGGCTGAAAAACTAGTAGGTAAAGAATATGTATTTTCTAAACTGATTATTATGGGCACCAAATACCATTTCTTTGTAGATAAGATTAAAGCAGATCTCCAGGATTTTTAAAAGGAAACCTTGCAGTGGAGCTTCCCCCACGCTGCAAGGGTTAAGTGCTCATGTTGTCTAGGGACAAAAATAAAGTGTGTGTGTATGGGGGGGGGGTGAATAGGGGGGTGTTACCACAAGGGGTGAGGGTAAATCTCCTTAACGGACAGCTATAATAAACCTGACAGGGGTTCTATTCACTCCCACTTTATTAAAAACTAAAAAAGAAATTCTGGCTTTAGTTGCACTTTAAGAAGCCTAAAATTCTGTATACAAAGCAGCATTCTGAAAATATATATCCACGTTGGGATTTTCATTCTGGGCACAATGTATAGAAACATAACAGGAAGGTGACGCCACTTGCAAAACTGATTAATTTACTAATCTGTTTCACAGTGGTAAATGTGTCCAAAAGATGGTGACGTGGAGCCCCAATTGCCAGTATCGGTTTCACTCAAGTCTTGGAAGTCTACATCTCATATCAATAATAAAGTACATAAAAAGTTTTAATACAATAAATCACCAGCTTATTTGCTCGGTAGAAACCAGTTTTTCTAGATAATGCAGGAAACAAAAGATACATTATAGCACGCCAGAATTCAAAGACAATTCTACATTTGACACCCACTAAGTCAACAGGTACCAGGAAGTTTGTTTTACTTTACACTTTACCTTTATTTGTGTACTGAGATGTTTTTTCTTTAATATCACAGCTTTCTCGTTATTTATGCTGAAATCCCAGCTGCACAGCAGTTTCGCAGTGTTTCCCGTATAGGAAGCAGGGTTAATAAAATTCTTCTTGAATGACTTTGCCATGCTGAAAAACACATCAGATAAGGAAAAATGTCAAACCAAAGTTTATTCATAAGCTGATGTATTGTTCTACTAAAAGAGATGTTGACAGGGATGTGTAGTGGTTTTGTAAATATGTTCTTTCCTCAATATGGTCAGATCTAAAAACAACCACAGTTTAAAAAAAGTATTGTTTAAATCTGGTAATTGTATTACATAATAAAATTTTGCATTTTATTCCTGAAGGGGAGCTTTTGGATTATTTTCACTGCTTTAACTCGGTCTATATACCCACCTTAAAATAAAAGCAAGTTATTCAGTGGGATCAAGGCAAAATCTACAAACACAGATGAATTAATCATCCGTGCGATGCATACATGCTTAGATAGCAGAATTGGAGGTTTGAGAGAGCCAGTCTGCCTGAAGGTGCTGTGCTGTTTCTTTAGCTAACCCATAGTGCTTTAGAATCCATAGGCATTTATTAAATATTTGTGAAACAAATATTGCGTACATATAGTAATCACTAATACAAAACAGGAGTTAAAAGGTGCAGCAGCTTCCGAAGCACAACCTCTGAGGGACTTGAGGCTGTAATGTGTTTGAGCATAGCAAACATTGGCAAATTAGTGTGTCTACACCCTTGCTACATTCAAACACATCTAAGCATGTGAGCCATGTCTGCATTCTGCTAGGTGAACAATGCCAGTAATTGCATGTGGGAGCTACTCGGTGGGTGAAGTTATTCCACCACTAGTAATTCCTACTTGCAGCATCAGGGATGTGAATACATCACCCCTGTAGTCTGGAAAACTACAGGGGGCGGGGGGTCTAATGTAAAAAAGACAGCAAGCAGACACAAGACAGTCAGTATTACATAGCTCGAAGTTAAATCATGTATAGAAGATGATGGAAGGGAGTCACTACACCATGTGCAAGCCCAGATAATCAATACACTGAAAACTTGATTTATACTTTAAAACATATTAGCCCGAAATGTAATTTGGAGTGTATGCAAACCCCGACAAAAAACGATTTGTTCCTTTTTGATATGTTGATTATGCCCTTGAAAGCATCTCTGTGCAAGCATTCACATTTCAGATTGGCCAAACATGCATGATAAGGTCTATGGAAGTAATGGAGAGAGCACTATTAAGCTAGACATAACCAATAGAGAATCATGATATCTTGACCAGGTTCCCAGATAGCAAGCAATTGAGCTGCAAGTTTGAAAATGAGTTGCTAAACTATTGCAGACTTGCCAAGCTTCAGAATTTTGTTGCACAATTGCAGCAAGTCTGCATTGCAAGTCTCTAGATCAACGTGCTTTGCAAAAGTGCTGTACACTTGCAGAACTCTTGCTAAGACCTGCAGGACTCTTGCTGTAGACTTGCCAAGCAAATTTGCTACAAATATAAAAACATGTCAACTAGAACTTGTGCTGCAATTGTTCTGCAAGTCTACAACTTGCCAGGAATGTGTGCAGCAAGTTAACAAGAATTACTATTTAACCCTCCCACAAGATTGTGGCAAGTTATCCTTGCTATCTGGGTTCTTTCATAAACAGCAGCAATGTGGTCACACAAGAACCCTTATTTAGTACAATGGAGGAAGAAGAGAGAGCAGTGCACATACAGTTAAAGGAGAACTATGGGTTTAGGGCTTTTCACCAAAGTTCTCCTTAGGGTCACCCTAAGCTCAGTATACCGCGAGCTACAGCTCGCGGTATACTGAGACGCCGCAGCTGAAGCGGATCCTGACAATTATGTCTGGATCCGCCCAGCTGTGTGAGTGACAGCTGGCTCTGCCTATCTAGAGGCAGAGCCAGCTGTACCAGCCCCCTCCCCGTCCATTCCGCCAGTTAGCGCTGGAGGATCGGAGCAGGGAGGGGGGAATCCAGTCCCTCCCCTGTCACGGCAGAGAGCCATGACAGGATCGAGAAGTGAGCGAACGCCGGTATGTGTTCGCACACTTCCCGATCTACTGAGCCGACCTGCGACAGTCTCATTGTCACAGGTCGGCCAGAACTATGATAAGCAATTGAGCTGCAAGTTTGAAAATGAGTTGCTAAACTATTGCAGACTTGCCAAGCTTCAGAATTTTGTTGCACAATTGCAGCAAGTCTGCATTGCAAGTCTCTAGATCAACGTGCTTTGCAAAAGTGCTGTACACTTGCAGAACTCTTGCTAAGACCTGCAGGACTCTTGCTGTAGACTTGCCAAGCAAATTTGCTACAAATATAAAAACATGTCAACTAGAACTTGTGCTGCAATTGTTCTGCAAGTCTACAACTTGCCAGGAATGTGTGCAGCAAGTTAACAAGAATTACTATTTAACCCTCCCACAAGATTGTGGCAAGTTATCCTTGCTATCTGGGTTCTTTCATAAACAGCAGCAATGTGGTCACACAAGAACCCTTATTTAGTACAATGGAGGAAGAAGAGAGAGCAGTGCACATACAGTTAAAGGAGAACTATGGGTTTAGGGCTTTTCACCAAAGTTCTCCTTAGGGTCACCCTAAGCTCAGTATACCGCGAGCTACAGCTCGCGGTATACTGAGACGCCGCAGCTGAAGCGGATCCTGACAATTATGTCTGGATCCGCCCAGCTGTGTGAGTGACAGCTGGCTCTGCCTATCTAGAGGCAGAGCCAGCTGTACCAGCCCCCTCCCCGTCCATTCCGCCAGTTAGCGCTGGAGGATCGGAGCAGGGAGGGGGGAATCCAGTCCCTCCCCTGTCACGGCAGAGAGCCATGACAGGATCGAGAAGTGAGCGAACGCCGGTATGTGTTCGCACACTTCCCGATCTACTGAGCCGACCTGCGACAGTCTCATTGTCACAGGTCGGCCAGAACTATGAGGTGAGTGAAAAGCAATCACCTCATAGTTCTCCTTTAAGGCATTTGAGAAAAAACATTACAATAAGCTGAGATTTTCTAACCTGCCAATCATTTGGCAGGATAGGTTTATCCTATAGACATTGAATAAGCATTTTCTTCTGGTCGAAAAGGCCAGATAAGGAGAGCATTATCTATAGTCACCACACCAGCATCTCCATGGGGAAAGCAACACCTAATGGCTGGTAAATTTTCACTTAATCCCTTGATTTTCTTTAAGTACTTAGCAATAGTATAGTATAGTACAGTACTTTAAGTACTGAGTGTGTATAGACATACAATCATTTTCTGAACCATAATGAGCTGGATTAGGTAAAGATCATCTTTTTTCCTGTGTGCACATCTTGAAGATTAACACAAACATAATAAAAAAAACAGTATTGCTATATTTCCTGACCTTGACAGGTCTGACGAACATTGGCTCTGTGCTTTTACACAATAATTGTTTTACAATTGTATACCACTGGTTTGCAGTCTACACTATTTCTAAATTTTCTGCATTACAGAGCTACTTTGGGTGTATACTGGTTTGGATACCAGAGGGGAGCCAAATGGACACATTTCCCAAAGGGGTCATGTGAGCACCAGGAACAAGGAGTAGGAGAGATGCCAGGAAATCTACAAAAGCTGCAGACCCATGATGAAGGACGGCTTGCCTTTCCTGTGTATTATCTGTAAAAGGAAAACTAAGAATGTACATTATTTTTCCATTTTGGGAAAAGATAGCAACTTGAATTCAAACAACTTGCCAGTGCGGTTTGAGAGACTTGGACTTTGTTTCTAGCATAACAATGGTTGTGGTTACTATCTGGGTCTCATTTGACAGGTTATACTTGAGTAATTCCTACGCTAGTATTTGAGTTTTAATTTCTACTGTGAGTGCCCAGTAAGTGTGTAGTCTTGACTACTGGGTGCAGTATTATTATTCTACCTTTGTGCATCCTGATACCCTCTGATGGGCTGCTCTCCCCCCCAGAAAAATGGGCAGGGAAGTATTTACCCATCCTTGTGGAAGTCTATGTGTCAGAACCCTCCGCAATACTTGCTGAAGTACACAGTGGCACTTGCATGGTCCTCTGGTTCCTTTGCTCTTCTCCCCCTGCAATTTAGATTAATTGAATTCTATGAACAGCAGTCCTTCTGTGCACATGTGCACTTCACTGTTTTGCAGAGTGCAGTGCAAGGCATGTAAGAATATGTACTATTTAGACGCTTTGCACTGTGCGAAGAAAAACAGCCTGAGCAGAGCCCAAAGCAGACAACCTCTGAAAAGCCATCTATGCATGCCCTAATAATAACTCAAAATATGTGCTCACTGAGAGATTTATTTTTTGTATTTTGGTAGCATATTTTCAACCCCACCATCTGCATACTGTCTGTGTGACTTTCCCAAGCCTTTTTTTTTCCAGGTACTTGGGATTCCTGTGAGAACCTCAAAACATAACATCTGACCAGTTTATCCCTAGTAGAGTGTATGTCTCCATGCTAGGGAAGGTAGGCTCCTTTTGGGCAAGGACTGATGGGAATGGTTATATGTACTATAACACGCTTTGGTATATGCAGGTGAAAATACATTTTAATAGGTAAAATACATAAAAATGTTTACCTACCAGATTTATGATTTAACTTGTTGGCTGATTTACTAAAGGAGTAGAGGATGTTTATTTAGCAAAGTGAATGTTCACTTATGCAAACATATGTTCACTGTGCAAAGTGTAAGTGATTATGGCAAAGCCGTGATAAATTAAATACCCAACCATGTTAAGCCCCCATCACCTTTTGTGAGGTGACTACTAAAAATTTAGTGATTGCCAGAGCTGTAATCAGTCTGGCTGAATTATAGTTGGCATTTATCTGGTTAATACCAGGTGTTCGGGCATTGATTATACCTGCCTGAATGGAGTGTGACTCTGCTGCAGTGTGGGACAGCCAATGAGGGACACTGTGAGTGTGTGGGCAGTTCAGCAGCCAATCACTGGGGCTCTCTCAGCCAGTGTTGCATACTGTGTAAACGCTTATATACTTGAGGGATTTGTCATGTGCTCAGTCTAGTGCCAGCCATGGATTAGTGCAGGTTGGGGTGCTGTCCAGCCTGCCCTCCAGGCTAGTTCTAGGGGTGGGGATGCTGGAGTG